AGGCTACCAGGTTGGTCTGACAGGACCTGCCTCTAATGAACCTGTGTTAGTTGCCCCTAAGCATAATCTCCCCTGCAGGCCCCTCATGGACATGTGCCAGAATAATTCTCTCAAAAAGCTTGCCCAAGATTGAGGTAAGACCTAACTGGCCTATAGTTTCCTGGGTCCTCCTTCCTCCCCTTTTTGAAGATGGGAACCACATTGGCCCTCTTCCAGTCGTCTGGCACCACACCAAAGCACCACGAGTGCTCGTATAGCCATGTTAGGGGTCCCAGAATGACCTCCACTAATTCCTTGTGGCCGACTTTGCTGTAGGCCTTCCTGTCTTGATTTTACAGTTTCTCATTCACATTTGATCTATAATAGAAGCACTGAATCCAAAAATGAGTAAAACACACTTGGTTGAATGTAGGATCAGACTCAACTGATTTAGGTCAAACCAATTTAAAGAACTTCTGTCCCAGACTCCTTCCTGTTTTAGGTTAATTTACAGTCTCCCAGGATGCTTTGCAGCTCTGGGCTGGGCTGTGCTGCCTGATCCAGTGGAGCAGGGTTGGCCCCATCCCTCTGCTCCCTAGCCAGAACACTATCACTGCTCCGGGTGGCTGAGAAGGGTGTAGCGGTAGGGTTGGGAAACTCTGCTCAATACTGCAGCTGGGGTCTGCCTAGCAGGGGCTCCAGGCACACCCTAGCTATGAACAGTGTAGGCCCGCATGGGGGTTTAAACCCCTCCCCAGTCGTACTCAGTGGTTTTCTGGGGTCTGGCCGTGTCCATCCTCCTTCCCCCACAAACTCCTAGCTTGTACCGGAAAGGGGGAAAAGCCTGGAGGGCTTCTCTCCCAGCTTGCCTCCAGCCTTCCAGTCACTTCTGAGAGGAAGGGAGGGCTTGCTCTAGTGCCCTTCAGCTTTTAGTCTGAGCCACTGCAGGAATGTGACTGCATTTCTGGAATGAAAAGTGAATGTCTGTCTATTTACTTGCTTCTTGGTTCAATCTGCTCAGTTTAGACTAACCTGAAAAGACTGAACTGATTTAGGCTTGGGTTTTTTGAATGTCTGTACTTAGCTTCAATGCGAGTGATTTATCCTTAATAACTGATCCAATGCAGGGCCTTAATGTGCTCAGTGTAATTTGAAGTGCATTTACTTTTACTAATAAAGGGAGGGAGAAATACTTACCTTCTCATGTGTAATTTATTAGACTGGTTATGTTAGAATTAATTTTAATAAAATAAACCAAACAAATCACTGGAGCAACTTAAAATGTTGTTTTCACATTGCAGTGATTTGAAATAAATGTGGGGTAATTTATGTTTATTTCAGTATGTCTCTTAGAGATAATTCAGGATAACACTTTTCAACCTCCTAAACATATTAATAATACCAAGCTTGTTGTTATGGTATGTAGTTGCTAACCTTACTTAGGTTAGAAATTGCCTAATAAATTTCTCCTCTTAATTTCTTTATGTGCAACAATCAGTGATACAATACAAACAAATTGGTTCAGTGTGAGATCTTGTGGACACAAGTATAAGTAGAGTGTATCCACAAAGCACCTCTGTACATTCCTTACTGTAAGCTGGGAATATCTTTGACATCTATAGAATGGGCAGATATGAAGCTGGTGGGAATGAGAGTGAATGGAAAATCAAACTCATTGTTTGGGAAAGTAACAATTGCATGAGATTGATAAGCCAATCCTTTAAATGTTTGCTCATTTAATAACAGTTGGTAGTCCTCTGGGGGCAGTTTTTTTTGGTTTTCTTGATCATTTGAAATAATATAAATTGTGACATTGTTTTTCTTATGTTCTGTACCAGTCCGTGATGCATATAAGTTCTGGAAAGAATGACCTTTCATTCCCCACCCCCTGCAAATCTTTGAAAGGTTTAGATTGTTTTCCTCAGCCTAGTAACATGCAGTGGGTACAATAGCATCACCTTACTGAGAAAAATAGATTGATTCTGTCTTGGCCTCTATTTCTAGCTTTCATGAAAAAAAGAGAAGCACTTTTTTGCTATTGCATGCTATGATTCAACTGTTCATTTTGGAATCAACTATTGTCAGGATACATTGTTCCTGCAAGTTTCAGTGTTGCTAACTTCAGAGGATTTTTTCATTCTATATCACATGGTTCTAAAACACTGAAAAAACCACATTCAGTATTACTTTTTCAACCTTCTTTTCCCCCATCAAGTTCTGTAAAGTCACATAAGGAAACTGATGAAGCAATTTAAATGTATTAATAGTTTTAAAATGACTACATTATGTTCATAAGTATTTTTTTGAACTATGGTATGCTAAAATTATAACTGTAAGTGTACAAAGGTATCGCTATATCAGAACTTAGAGAGAAATCCTGGCCCCACTGAAGCCAATGGGAGTTAAACAAAGACAATGGAACTGAGATTTTATCCTGTTAGTGTGTATCTAATAATATAGTGCTGGTTGTTGTATCCTGTAACATTTCCATTATCTTTTTAACTGCAGACTGCAATAAAAGATGGTGTACTTTGGAAAGTAGTTTCTTGAGTTACTATGAAAACGATAAGGCAACCACTCCTAATGGTATGATAGACATCAGTGAAGTTATCTGTCTTGTAGTGCACAATTCTGACTCATTTTTAAATACAGGGTAAGTTCCAAAATTAATCACTCCATACATATTCAGAAAAATCCTTTATATGTCAAGTGACATGGTGATATATTGAATATTCATGACCAATTTCCCTTTCCTGGACTGACCTCTTCCTCAAGTTAAAACAGGGGTTGGCAACCTTTTACTAGGATGGACCGCCCCTTGTGACCTGGCTGCCTCCACAGGCATTTATAGTGACTCCTCCGTTAATGTCGTAGCTACATTCTTGAAAAATGCGACTAAGTGAATCCAACTACAACACAGTAGCTACCTACTAGCAGGCAGTGGCCAAACAATATTATAACCAAACATTGTGCAACTTTACATGATTATAGACCAGCGATGTAATAACACTGTCATGGTTAACGCTTTTTCATTAAGTGAGGAGTATCTTTACCATATTTTTTCCATACAGTACACTCTGAATATAACACATACCCTATTCTGAGAAGGCCCCAAGGAGAAAAAAACAATATTACCTTGAAATACAAGTTGTGGGTATCTGAGGTCTGGGGTCTCCAGGGCTGAAGTTGGGGGGCTGCATGTCAGGGCTGGGAAGCATATGCCAAGGATGAGAGTTTGGAAGTTGGGAGCTGTGCACAGAGGCAGGGGGTCATGTGCCAGCTCTGATTCCATGCACTGGGGCCTGATTGGCTGTGTCAGTGCTCGGGCTAAAGGTAATATGAGAAAATATTGTAAGCTCTGGATTCCTTTCTAGCTCATACGTGCTCTGTGTAAAGGGCTACCTTCTTGCTAACACCCCCATCACTCCCCCACTGCAGCCTCTACTTGCAGTTTTTGTGAGAGAGCATAGAAAATAAGGAGTTAGAGTGGTAGTTCAGAGGTGAGAGTGAGCAGAGACTTCAGCGGGGAGGTGAGAGTAGCCCTTGACACAGTGCATGGATTGCTGGAGTGGCAGCTAGTTTTGGGAAATGTGAGCTGGATTGGCTGGCTGTTCTTAAACCACAGGTTGGATCAGACCTTTATGGGCTCAAACTAGGGGTTCACTGATAGGGATTTTTGAGTCTGATGCCAATAGCTGATATTTAAGGAGACATATATTAGCTGATACTGATCCAATATCCGATACAGTAGCAGGTAAGTCTGGTTTAGGAGAAGGGGGAGGGGGAAGGGAAGGGGCGTGGTGGGGCAGCTCAAGGCCCTGCCATGAGGGAGAGAGGCTGGGGTAGGGGCATGCGCTGCCCAGTCGGGGTGGGTGGACCAAGGACGAAGCCGCAGCTCATCTATGGGTCATGGGATGGAGCAGGGCTCATCTGGGGGGTGCAGGAGGAGTGGGAGGTGGAGGTGGCTTCTGTCACCATGCACAACTGGTCCAGTGGCTCATCTGCTGGTTCTCACCACTGCTGCTGTTGCTCGTCTAGGAGGGTATGGGGGCATGTGCCCCCGGATCTGCACCAGGCTGGGCAACCTGGGCCCAGGGCTGTTCCCCACGGTGCCTGGACCACCCGGGTGGGGCGTGGGGCAGGTTGTGGTGCTGCTGACAGCAGGGGGCTATGGTGGATTTTGGGATGGCTGCAGCCCCACCTGTAGCCCCCTCCCAGTGACGCCTCACCCCACCCCATGCTCCACCCGGCTGAGGCTGCACTGGGAACTGCCCTAGCCCCAGTCTGCCCCATGCAAATCCAGGGCCTGTTCCTGGTGGAGACTGAGTGGGGTGCAGGGTGGGGCTGGCAGTGCTGGGAGGAGGTTACAGGGGTACAGCCACCCAAAAATTCCATGTAGCCCCCTCATGCCCCCCCCCCGTGGTGCAACCCTATGGCTCCGCCCAGCCCAAGCTCTGCTGGGAACAGCTCTGGCGCCAGCCCGCTCAGTCAGCACAGATCTGGGGGCACAAGTGACAGCAGCAGGAGTCAGTGGATGAGTCACGCACAGTGGTGGGAGCTTCCTTTGCCGCCTCCTTCCCTGCGCTCCCCAGACAAGGCCTGCTCGTCCCCTACCTGCTTTCCCTGACTGAGAAGCACTTGCCTCTGCCTCAGCTCCAGATCCTGCCTCCTTCCCTCTCTTATGGTAGGGCCTTGATCTGCCCCTCCATGCCTTCCCTCCTCCTTCTTCCCCGCCCCCCCACCTTCCCAGCTGGAGGCAGCTCTCCACACTGTAGGCTGTGTCTTCACTGCCTATGTGCTGCACTGTGGCTGCGTGCAGCATGGGCATTTATCAGCCCAATTATTGGCCACTTAAGGCTGATATCTGATATAGATAATTTTTTTATATCAGTACCGATCTGATAGCGGACCAATGTATCGGTGCACCTCTAGCTTAAACCTATATAAATAGAATCCTGGCTAAAACATTTTGCAGGAGGGTATAGTCAAATATTGATGGCAGATGAGAGTTGTTTGGAATTATATAGGAGTAGATCATACATATTTCAAACTAGGGCTCACTCTTTTATCTGAATTGAGCTCTATGTTCTTTGAGAGGGAGAGCAACACCCCTTCCTTTTTTCCTTCTCTGTCTCCTGTACAGCCTATAGCCCACTATTCCTACCACCAAGTCATGAGTATAGTCCCACCAGGTTTCTGTTAGACCCACTAGGTCAAAGCTATTGCTTGTAAGCAAGAGTTCTAGATCCTCTTGCTTGTTTCCCATGCTCCTGGCATTTGTATATATACATTTAATTCCCTGGTGGCTGCCCTGAAATGCCCCTATACTCCTGTCTAATAGAATCTTTGAGACTTGCCTGGGCTGATCTTGTTGGATGTCTCATGGTTTAGTGTTCTGTGGATCCCTCCGTCCTCATCCTCCCCTTCCCCCGGTGAACCTAGTTTAAAGCCCACCGGAGGAGATCAGCAGACCTGAAAGAGAACACACGCTTACCTTTGGGGGAGAGATAAAGCCAATCCCACCCAAGCATGTCTCTTGTTCGGAAGTATGGGTTGTGGTCAGAAAAGCTGAAGCCTGTCTTGTAACAGCTCTGAAGCCGTAAGTTGACCTCCACGATGCTGGTCTCATGGCATTGTCCACATCTGCTCACTGGGAGGACAGATGAGAAGGCCTGTCTCCTTCAGCTTGGCCCCAAGAGCCTTGTAGTTCTTCATGACCTTGTAGTCCTTTCTGTACCTGATAGGAATTCACATTTTCCTCATTTTATCCAAATCTTTAATATAAACAGTATTCTACCCAACAATAACCTGATGCTGTTGAATGGCAAAACTCCCCTTTGATTTTAGAAGAGCTTAATGCTGTTTTTAACCAGGATCCAACCAACCCAAATTTGACATTTCTGGCTCCATAATTAATTCACTGTATTATTTGCTGTATCCTAAATATCTCTGCCTAGAGGAAAGATCTAAAATTGCAAATAATTTGCCTTATTTATTTCCTTTTTGGAAATATTTGTTCCAGTGTCCCACTTGGAGTGGGTTCTGTGATTATCTTCCTTATGGCTTCTCTTAAATTCTGTGCTGTCATTAACAGTGCATTGCACCCTGTGTCTATTGAGATGTGTATGCTACTAATAAGAGCCAAGTATTACCATAAAGCTTTGACAGGTTTCATATGGAATGAGGAAGAGTGGTGGGTATGACCCATCCCTTTAGTGTATAGATGCATCTGAACTGTTTCCAGGATGAGGCACAAGGTTACACAAAGAATATTGGAAATTTACCATTTTTAATGATATGTGGATTAAGAACAAACACTTTTTTCAAAGTGTGGTTTGAAATTCAGACCACTTTTAATTTTAATTCCAGTACTACAGCTAGAAAGAAAAAACGTGAAGTTTGGTCAGACAATCTTTTAAATATCAAGTAGCTTAAGCTTAGTGAGGAATCATTTGCAGGATCCTTTTTCAGTGAGATAAATGGTCTATTTTTATTCTAGAAACATTTAAAGCATTTTATGCTTAATAACAATGATTTATATTGAAATTACATAAAATACAATATCAAATAATTCCCTTCCAATTACATTTTCATCTTGGTGTTGATGAAAGGTTAAATATGCAATAGCCTTATGAATGTATTATTGACATAAAAGGTAGTGTAACCATTCTGCCATGAATACATTATATAAACTGTTCTGTGCCCATAACTAGTTTTATATGTACAGGCATACCTCGGAGATATTGCGGGTTCGGTTCCAGACCACTGCAATAAAGCGAATATCGCAATAAAGCGAGTCACATGAATTTTTTGGTTTTCCAGTGCATATAAAAGTTATGTTTACACTATACTATAGTCTATTAAGTGTGCAATAGCATTATGTCTAAAAAAACAATGTACATACCTTAATTAAAAAATACTTTATTGCTAAAAAATGCTAACCATCAAAATGGCACCGATGGAAAAATGGCACCGATAGACTTGCTCGACGCAAGGTTGCCACAAACCTTCAATTTGTAAAAAAACGCAATATCTGCGAAGCGCAATAAAGCGAAGCGCAATAAAACGAGGTATGCCTGTAGTATCAAAAGAGAAGTGCAGATAGATTTTTCCATAGGAATGAAATACTGGAAATATGAGGAAAACTTGAAATCTTGGTTGTTTTGTATTATGAAGACTAAATAAATAAAACTGCTGTCCCTCCCCCTTGTTTGCTTTAGGACCAACTTTGCCTTTGAAATCTATTTAATGTCAGAACGTGTTTTCCTGTTTGGAGCTGAAACTGCATATTCACAAAGAAAATGGACCCAAGCAATAGCCAAGGTAATGCTGATAATTATCTGTCCAAGTTAGGCCAAGAGACTACACAAAATACAAAGTGGCATTGTTAGCTTAGAATCCTGTGAGAAAACAGATATGATGAATACTGATCTATCCAGTATGCAAAGGTTTCCCTTACAGCAGCAGAAAATATTTTCTATAATAAATGTTTGAAATGAGATAATGTAAGGAAGCACAAGGAGAAATGAAACACAACATTCTGATGCTGACCTTAAGAATATAATTGTTAATGTTCTAATATAAAAGTATGTACTCCATATCAATGGATTCTGATCCAGCTCAGATGTAGCCATACACTCTTCAGCTGATGTAAGCTCAATTATGCTTTTCGCAAGCTTCCTACTGAAACAGAATTCCTGACAGATTTGGTACAAGGTGCATGAAAGATAACATTTATAATAAAAAGAGATTGCAATTTTAAGAAGACAGAAACTTAAATATTTTATTTTTAATATATTTTTTTAAAAAATCTGCTGCTCCTGATTATGCAGTTGGATTTAGCATTTAATTT